ATCATATTATATTTTTTATATCCATATATAAAATATTTAATAATATATTAAATAATAAAAGTATAACGATATTTATCTTCCCTATACCGCAAATTTATTTTTTCATTCCCGTAGAAAAATACGAAGCGCTTAAACCAACTTAAAATTCGTCGTTCCGTGATTCTGTGAATAACACTGATGACACTGAAAAGAACGTACGATAGGCGACAAGAGGAAAAGAGAGAGAGAAAGAGAAAATGAGTGAGAGAGAAAGAGTACTCATCGTCGTCCTCGTCATGCCCTTCGAAAGCTGAACTCACGCGTTACGTAACGAGCAAATGTTCTTTTCAATGGGATGACTGTAGTAGGGTTAAAAAAAAAAAAGAAATAAATCAGAATCAGATGGGCGAAAGAATTTCACGGGAAAAGTGAAAAATTTCTGCTATGGGGTTGGCACAGACATCTTACTGGCTGATCAATTGACTGCTTCACCGACTGCCATTCAAATTTTGGAATAAAAGAACGAATTCCTTTTATTCGAAATGGAGAATGAAAAAGGATTTCGATCGAACACGACAGAGGTGCTTATTTTTTTTTTCTCTAATAAGATGCATCAATGATTTTCAAAGACCCCTGCTCCCGCCCCCCGCCACATATCGTTCGCGATACGCGTATATTATGTTTGTATTTATTCAAAGGTATATGAAAGCCAGTCAGCAAACATATTAATAACGAATCTATTCGAACGTGACTCGATGCTCGTTCACGATGAGCATTTTTATTATCACCTTTTCTTATCGGAATTGATGCGCGTGTATCTCTGCTTGTTTTCAAAAAAAAAAAAAAAAAGAAAAAAAAAAGAGAATAAAACAAAGCTATAAATATTATTGAACAAATTAGTAATATTTCTTATCATTTATCACCAGGATTATACAATAATATCTATATATAGATTTGAATATAATAATCTTGGTAAACAGGATGAGATAAAATTCGCTCTTTTCTCAAAATAACTCTAAATAAATTATTTACATGTTCATTTATTCACATGAATTGTTCAAATCGGTGTCCATTATACTTTTCCCATAGTAATCGCATACAAATTTATAGCTAAATATTAGCCGTGTAATCGTACATTATTGCATGAACAAATTACTTGAAATAGCGACTTTAATCTTATCTCTTGTAAAAAAATAAATGTAATTGAACATATAATAAAATAATTGTATTGGTATAAGCTATTACGTAAGAAATGTATATCATGTTAAAAATGAGGAGAAACATAAAAGACAAAATTGCAGGACGATGATGATAATTTATGAGCCCTTGGAAACTGTAGAAAATAAAATGGTGCATTTGGTGGTAGGATTCAGCCATTACATTTATAGATATGAATATAAACGAGGATATAAAAGAAATTAATGAATATCTATAGATGAACATAAAAAGGAAAAGAAAGGGACGCAAAGGGCATTTCCTGTGCAAAAGACATCAACGGAAGGTAGATATCTGGCTTGCGATGATATATACTAAACGACAGGAACTACCCATCGTCGTTCAAGCGTAGATAGCGATAACACGTTACTCTTTCTCTTTCTTCTTCTCCTTCCACTTTTGTTGTCTCCAATCCTTAACTGTCCTAAGAGATTATCGGAACAAAATATACAAAAGAAAAGGAAAACGTAAAACAACAACAACAACAAATAAACGAATGAATCTCACATTAAACGAGAATCGAAGACTTTTACCAGCTATTCGCGTACACATAGATGGGAATTACATTGGAAATGGATAAAACGATTTCGATGTAAATCGCGAATACAAGTTTGCATGCGTGTAAGCCCTTTATACGCTAGTCTCGTATTGGAAGATACGGAATTTCTAGGATTAAAGTGTTCACTTGGCTAGACTAAATTCAACATCAATTCATTATTCTGTTTTACGTTTAAATATTGGAAAATAAATCAATGAAATGTATTAAAAATTCAAGCTGAAAAACGATGAACAACAATTTTTAAATTTTGGAAATATAATTTTAAACGTGTTGAAACATGATTTCATCTCTAAATATTATCTCAGAACAAAGAGAAACGCAAATTTCAACGGCATTGAACAAAGTGAATCGATCGAAATGGGACACCCTATATAATCGCGTAACACGCGCGTGCCAGAAAGACTGGCGAAAGGAAAAGCACGGCCGTTTTCGTTCTTTATGCGTAAATAGCCGTATTATGCAGGAGCCGGTCCTTTATTCGCTTTCTTTCGAGTCGTTCTACCATCAGCAGCAGCAGCAGCAGCAGTAGCAGAGGGATCAAAGGGCTAATACAATTTTTCTCGTCTCCTTCCTACATCACCACCGCTACCACCACCACCACCACCACCACCACCACCACCATCATCAACTCGTCCTTCACACTAAGAAGAACACGTACGACCCAAAGGTTTCAGAAATACTCTCACAGAGTGTGACTGAGAAAAACAGAAAAGATAAAGGGAGCGCTCGTAAGTAACTCCATGTCTGAATAACATTCGGTGTATAAAATAGCCAAGCACGTTGAGTTTTGGACAAAAGGGAAAGGCTTTAGTGGTAACCAGTGTATAATAAAAAAGAAAAAAGGAAAAGAAGAAGGATGATGAAACACAGAAAGAGAGAGGAAGAGTGTACCCCTTTTCATCGCACAAGACGTCTCCAAACTCTAAGACCGTCGTTCTCATCCGTAACCCGAGACGTGTAATTAGGACCACCGGACCAGGATGAATAGCCAAGTGGAGCTGGTGGTAAAGGAAAAGGAACCGACGGAAGGGGTAACTATGGGCCACCGATAAGAGAAGGGATATGGAGGAGGATGGGGGGCGTTTCCAGAGGGGTAAGACATTAAGCTAAGGGTAAGCTTGTCTTTTGGATATTGCCTAGGTCGATGCTACTACTGAATAAACTCTCTTTCTCCTCGACTCTTTTCTACGTCTATCTTCATCTAGATCTAGCTATCCATCTCTATCAGCTACCCCTTTTCTGCCAGGTCAGCTTGAAACTTGTGTTTTACAAGCCGACTGTGTATACCTATATATATATATCTACGCGCGGATATGTGTGTGCGTGTTGCGTGCATAGCTTTCTGTGTGCGTGTGTGTGTGCGTGCGACTATCGAACCGGTTCTACGGTTCCCTTTGAAGAGAGAGAGAGAGAAAGATAGGGGAGAGGAAGGGGGGAAAGAGAACTCGACCAACGTGAACTACTACAGAGCGTCCTGCAGGTTTAAACCTGAGATATCATCGAAGATCAAGCCCAACACACCGGCTGCCCTAATAATTGCTCCTTCTTGCATTCCTAACATATCGGGAACGGTAGTTTGTTATATACGATCGGAAGATTTTATTTCCGATTATGTCCCTCGGAAATTAATTTCTATTTTTTGTACAAAATAATGAATGGTATTAAGAATTGGTTGATTAATAATATGAACGTTATGATTAAATGATCATCGGGTAATCGATATTACAATAAAAGTAACGCTTTGGTGAATTTGATAGACAATTAATATTTTTCCTTTAGAATTTCTCCAATAGTCCAATATGTCTACCCTTTATGTGAAGTATCCAAAAAATAAAAGGCGCGAGTCCTGTCGTTATTTATAGGGCACTTAGTAATAGTGTCTCGAGAGGGAGCTTCCATCTTGTTCCGAGCTTTCCTTAAAAAGCACTTTCCCGATCGATTTTCAAGAAAGACATTGAACTCTCTCTTTTCTTTCTCTCTCTCAAACATTCTCATCATTGAATATCTTTTCCTCTTCCGATGTAGAAAAAGAGGAAGAAGAAAAAAACACATAAAAAGGGAAGATAGTATTGGCATACAAATAAAATATAAATGATCGTAAAAATAATCCACGAGACACTTGGAGGAAATATTTGAAAGTCCATTAAGAACAAGAAGTTACAAACAGAAGACGTTTCGGGTTTATTGCGGGATATAAATCAGCATTTTCTTTTTTTTTTTCTTTTTTTTCGGAATATACGCGAAAGAGTATATATTTTTATATTTATGTTTAATTAAACATATATAGAAGAGAAAAATAAGAAAAATAAAGGAAGAAAATAGAAAAGATGGCGGACGAGCGCGAGTTCTCGAAGCAATTACGCAGCCGGGACTCGACGCGTGTGTGGTGTTCGAGGTTCCGAAATATTTCGGCGTTTCGAGCCGTCCCAAAAGGGCTGAGAACGAGCGGGACCGAGATAGCTAAAAGGGAGAAAGGGAGATAGAAAGAGAGAGAAAGAGACAGAGAGCCGGTTCGAAGTCGTCATTATTTCAGCGACCGCTCACGATCAGGGTTGCCTTCAATTAACTGTAATTATCTCGATGCCGGCGAAGAAAACCACGAGCAAAGGGAACGAGTTTTCGAGTGGAAGAAAAAAAGAAGAAAAATAAGAGCTTTCTCGCGTTAATATGGTCAAAGAACGGGCTTCCTTCGGTTCGTTGCTTCGTAAAAGAGTGAAGGAAGGAAAGGTAGGAATAAAGAGAATGAGAGAAAAAGAAAATCAGGAGGAGGAGAAGGAGGAGGAGGAGGAGGAGGAGGTGGAGGAAGAACGGTCGAGGAATTTATAAGAGGAAGAAAAAAGGCTGGTTCGATAGCGGGGTTATAGGAAAGTCGATAAAGGAGAGAAATAGAGAGAGAAGGAAAGATTGGATGATTTAGGGGCTTTCATTTCGTTTGAAAAAAGCCGAGAGAGCAAAAAAAAGATAGAGAGTGAATAAAGTGCAGTACAATATTTTCATGCAAAAAGGAGTATCATTCGACACGATTATTTTTTTCTCGCTCGAGCCCCATGATTCATCCCCTCGTTCGTCCACTGCACTGCAGAATGAAAGAGAGAGAGTTGGAGTGAGCGAGTGAATGAGTTCAAGAGAAAGAGAGAGAAAGAGCTCGCGTCGTTCACTCGGGGGAGAGAAAAAGAATCGTAGTCGTAATGTTGTACGTTAGTACCTTACGTATGTATATATGCAAAGATGTATGTGTAATACTCACGCAGGCATAGGACGAGGAACGCCAACGACTCGATGCACCGCATCCTTTTCGTACTTCCCTCGAGACTCGCTGCTGCCACCACCACCACCACTATTCCTTCTCAACGAGAGAGAAAGGAAAAGAGAGAGAGAGAGAGAGAGAGAGAGAGAGAGAGAGAAGAAAAACAACGATCCAAATATCTATTTCACGATATTTTCTTCTTTTATTTTAGTCCTTTTTTTCTCTTACTTTATTGGTTCGTTCTTTAACCGAGATTGACTCGTGAAGTCTCAAGTAACTGTCATTTTCTCTTCACGAAATGTCTCCGACGCGTATCGTTACTAACACTACTGTTAAACTTCTCTTTTGAAATAAAGTAGGAGAAGAGAGAGAGTCAGAATCGTCTTTGACGTAAAGAAACGAAATAAAACGAATCGAACGAGACGAAGCGACGCGCGGTACTGCGGCCGGTGACCCACGCCAACTTGACGCGACCCCTCGATACGCGACCCTCGATCTGCCTTCCCCCACTACCACCACCGATTCTGATATCACCGCTGCAACTTTCCTCTTTATACATCCCTAACTTCCCTCAGTCGCCGCTTGGCGTCGCTTCGCGTTGCTTCCAATTGATGCAACCTATACTCTCTCTCACTCTATCTCCCCCTCACCTTCCCTCTCACTTTTACACCGATAATCGATATATCTACTACTAGTTCTATAACGTCTCACTTTATACTGTTATCTTCAGTTGATTTGAAGTTATAAATACCGACGAGAGATACCTGCTATACCGAATATAAACATTGGCAGATCTTTTTCTTGGAATCGTACGAAGGTAATGTTTATGTGTATTATCAATTGTATATAAAGCAAATCGTCCTGTTTCAATTGAAATTTAGATTAAAGCAACGAAGATAGATGATCGAGCGAGACAGAAAATATCATGATGATTTACAATTCAAATTCGATATATTATTTTCATACATTTTAAGACATGTTCATCGTTGTTCTTTCCTTAAGGATTCGTATCATTACGTATAATATTTTATGTAACAACGGTCTAAACAGTCACATATGTACTTACAATCCTACATTAATCGTATATATTTATACATATATGTATATGTATACATATATACTTGGATTTTGTTTTTTTATACTTTACATATTAATCCTCAATTTCTGCTAGCTTACATTAAAAACGGATTTGCACGTCGCGAAAATCATCGAGGTTTATCGTACATACGTGTTTTGTAACAATACTTCTTTATCATCAGAAACAATTTTCTTACCAACCGATGAGATAAATTAACCAACCCATGATAATATCTTATAATTGGAAAATTTATCGTAAGTCAAAAAATTATCGACGTGAAATAAAATTAATCTCAAAAAAGAAGGAGCGAAAAATTAACAGTCGTAAGTAACGGTCGAGAGGATCTTTACGTCGAACGTTGATCTGAAAAAGAAAAGATAGTATTGATTTAACGTTAAAATTTACGAAAGAAAGGAAATAGAATAACCGAAGATATTGGACGTGTGGCTTATATCGAATACTTACGATAGTATTACGATAGTAATGATTGTCAAAAATAATAAATACGTTCTCCTCGATCCTCACCAATTACGTCCAAGAAACATACACATCTGAAAATTTGTGAACATCAATACAGAAGAGGAAGAAGAAGAAGAAGAAGAAGTTGTATTTGTCAATTTGTATACTATTTAACGATAGAACTTCGACTCGCTTAGAGAAGTACGATAAACCAATATTGAAATGTTCAAATCCTATCTCTCTTATTCTTTCTTTCTTTCTTCTTGTTCACTTAAATAGATAGTTCGTTCGGATAGCGTTTGACCTGCAAAATAATACATATTTACATAGATATTCGATGTATATCCTTATGTATAATTTCATATGTACACTTAAGATGGCGCTCTACCAATACGTTGCGTTCAAACATATTCCAAATGTGATATCCCTTTCGAAACAATTTTTGTTCGCTCTCATTCACTCTCGCACACACTCGCTAGCAAGTTGCAAATATTCGCGAAGAAAACGTGAAGGCTTATCAATCTCTTTTCCTTCGAGCACTTGTTCAACTCGTTATACGAACTAGTTATAGTTAATTAATTCCTTCTGAGTATTATCGAATCGTACTATTTATAATAATATATACATAATCTTGAAACATTTTCATTTTCGAATTGATAGAATCGTTGTCGATTTTTTGTATCGCCATGTAAGTAATTTCCAATTTTCAAATTAATCATGCACGTTGAGAGAATTCGTTGATCATTAATAATATTTATTTCTTGTTTATATTAGCAGGTGTCTGGATGAGGAGTCACGTGATAAGGAGTTGCGAAAGAAGGAAGAAGAATTAACTGGAGAGTTAGGTTAGTTTCTTATTCATTATTTTGGTTGCGAAAAGAATATAAATTTTCTATACCATCAAACCTCATATAAAATTTTGTTCCCCTAACACAGTACGATTTAATTTGATTCTGAGTTTCTTATATCTCGTTTTCCGACGTAATTACTACGTTTTACGGCGTACCGCGTATTATACGAGGTTCGATTGTACTCTGTTTCGATCAATCGAAAACGATACAATAGATCTAAATTTAATCTCACCTTCGCTTGGCATTTATATATTTACTCATATTCGTAATGACTAGCAGCACTTTGAGAACCGATTTAAAGTGAAAATTAATAAGACTTATGATTCGAAGCGAATACACGTACATATAAATACGTACGCATACGTATAACACACGTTCTCTCTGAGTATTCGCATTCGTAAACCTAATCGATGGCTATGTTATCCTAAGTATACGTACACGACATAGCCCTGAAATAATAAACTCGATTCTCGCGTAAGTTAGCAGCATAATCATTAATAATATAATAATCATAATAAAATAATAATAATAATAATAATAATAATAATAATAATAATAATAATAATAATAATAATAATAATATCCGATGAAGTTCGCGTACGATCGATATGTTTTCGATAGAATTGTTATGAACGTGACCAATCGTCAACAACGACGACGACGACGATGACGACGATGACAACATCGCATCATCGTCCAGAAAAATATTTATCGCATTTTTTGTTTCTATTTTAGGCCATCGTCGTTGCTCTCACGCATATTTTATTATTAGAATTAATTCCGAAAGTAAGACGTTCCCTATTGTCGATGATATGTACCCGGCCGTTGAAATTCTCGAAGGACGCCATGGTTTTTTCTTACTTCTTTATTTCTTGATTTATTTTCCTCTTAATGTTCATTTTCGGTCACCCCAGCCAGCAGTGTTGTAAAACCAGGAAGAAGCGCTCTCATCTCTTGTTTTGCTCCACGTATTGTCCAATCCACTTCCACCTCCGTCCTGAATAACAAAATGTACGCATTTTCGAAAATTCGTCTCAACTTGAATTAATTTTTTGGTTTAATTTTCTTTTAAAATAATTTACCACAACGTTCAATTGATGCGATGCAGGAGACAAGTACTCCATGTTGGTATAATAAGAAGAATAATTTTGATAGCATTGCTGTTGAGACGCTGTTGTTGTCCACGCTAACCTCTGATGATCTCCCGCAAATCCACCATTTTCCGTTACGGCAGGACTCCAAATACTGCTGCTACTTCCTCCACTACTATACACCGTACCACTCAACTGTAAAGATTCATTCATTTTTAATTACTAGTTAATATTTTTTTAAGAACAAGTTGAGCAGAATAACATTAAGGATATGAAATATAACTTACGCTCGGAGGCGTGGTATTTGCAGCCAAAAGTAAACTGGTGGCGGGCCCAGCAGGCTTATATTGAGGTGAGTCCCTTAAAAGGGCTGGCGAACTAGCTGCTGATCCTCCGGTACCTCCGCTTCTAAAAAAATCATTACTTCGATTAGTATAAAACAGATAATAATATTTCATTATTTCAATAAAGAATTCACATACACTACTGGCCGACACTTTAATTACTACATTTGCATGACAAATTTATTTAAAAACTATAAGTTCAATTTGATTAGTAATCTTTTATTTTTGCACGTGTTTTAAGAGAAATTCATCAGATGCTTCAAATCGTAAGTAATAAGCTTTCACAGCAACTAGTGCTGTTTATATCACATTATTAATTTATTTAATCGTATAGATAATTTCAAAAGTAAGACATTCCTCATTTTCTGTGATGTTTACTGACCACTGACATTCTCGAAATACATAAGACATTTTTACTTTCCCTTTTATGTACGAGTATTAGGTCTTCTACGAACTGAAGAGAGAGACAGAGAAAGTAATACTACAGCAAGTTATGTTTACCTCTATTATAATTAGATATAAATGATGTTATAAGAAATTACCTGTTTTATACAACGTATACCCAAACTTTTAGTCGGTAGTATAAATTGAATAAATTATCATCAAATAGGAATTGAATAGATAATCCGTATATTCAAAATAGAATGCTTATCATCGAGATAACATTATCTTTCAGGGTATAGATCGATAAGAGTAATACTTACAGGGGAGTCGTAGCTGGTACAGCCGCAGCTGGCGTGGGTGTGGTAGCGATCGAAGGACTCTTTCCAGGAGGTGGATTACTCGTAGGATTTCCCGAAGGTTTCTTCGATCTCGGTGCCTTATCTTGTTGCTGTTCTTGTTGTTTTTGTTGTTGTCTACATTTGGCGCGTCGATTTTTAAACCACACCTGCGTATTTGTCAATTACAAAATTATCGTCAAACATTATTAAACGTTGATTTTTTTTTAGCGAATAGCTAAATGTCATTGAATCAGAAGCTATTGGTTATCATTGAAATCGAGCGTTTCTAGTGGGAGAAGACTAACATCGATTGTATTCAATCTCTATAGAGATCTATCGTTAATTCAATAGTATTATAGTGGAATTATAGTTATATGTATATAGTTATTACTGGCTAGTAAACGTTTCTGAATAGAATAAGCCGATTTTCTATGAGCTATGCATCGCTACCCTTTAATTCCCGGTCAACGCTTTCGATCGAATAGAGTTGATCGTTGCTTGATCAGTTAGCTAGAGTCTCCTATGACTTTATATTGCAGAATGATCGCTCTGTCTGTCATTTTCTCATCTCTCTCTCTCTCTTTCTCTTTAGAAAACGCCATTTTTTTCTCGAGAAGAGGATACGAGTTCAGATTCGTTCGTAAGGTCGAAACGAAATCGATCCCAGAACGACGCGCACGTGCAAAAGTACCGGAAACGTCTTTGGCTTACCGAAAGATGGCGGTGTATTTCCTATTTATACCGGAATCTTATATTGTTTTGATTATCATCTAATGGTAGAAATGATTAAAAATAAATAATACTATTGATAGATCGAGATTTTTATTTTTCATTTTCTACGTTAAATGAAAATTGTTGTTGGAAAATAGATATAGGTAAGGTAATAAGAGAGAGAGAGAAAGAGAGAGAGAATATGTGAGTGAAGAAACGTGGAGAGAGAGAAAGAGAGAGAGAGAAAGAAGCCCCACGCGATCAATGTTAGAAGCTGAGAGGCGAGCTTGGGTTTCTACGGATTTTCTAGGGAACGACACGAGCTAGTAGAATTCTTCGAGTATATTCTTGTCGTTAGACCCATCGTCTCCTATCCTATACCAAATTCTCTAGTTTCACTTTGCTTTGGTATACCCTAAGAAAACACTTTTAACCTTTTCTTCGACGCTCTCATAAGTTGTTACACGCGACATCATAGTAGATAGACTCGTGCCACCGTAGAATAAAAGTTCGACTCGTATTCGAGAATGGTTGCAGTATTTTTATTATTTAAGAAATTTGCATTAATTGAACCTTTTCTCAGGTAGTCTGTTTGGACAATGGAATTTGTCCTGGTATTAATAATTATCCTTGATACAATTGACACTCCAAATTCAATATGCCGTGTTTGTTCCATATATCACGCATAATAAAAAAAAAAATAACGTGGGAAAACACTAAGAAATAAAATGTTAGTCATTTGGGAGTCGTTTGGAGAAAAAAAAGGGGAAATAAAAATCGATCGACATAGAAAAAAAAAAAGGAATACAAACGTAGAATCGTTATGATAATAAAGGAAGAAAGGGATAGTTGGTATGAATAACGTTATTTTATTCGTCGCAAGGCTCAAAGAAACGTCGATCGCTTTCGCAGACGCCAACGAACGTGCACAAGACTATACTTTGCGTTAGTGGTATTCATTTCAATTGCGGGAGAAGAGTCAACCAGGTGTGCTTTACGTCCCGCGATTGCGGATGCTACGTGTGTCCTTTCTCGCCCCAAGGAATATGAGGGTGGAATATGCATCGGCACGTACTTGGCCCGAAACGAAAATTTCAATAGTAAACGTCACGAAGTCGTTCGAAAAAAAATGTTTAAATGAAAAGAATTCTACCAAGTCTAGCCCCTCTTTTTTTTATTGTGCCCACTTTAAAGTGAACCAGAAGATGTCAAAATTTGACTGGGTTCGTTTAACTGAAAGGCACTTTAAATTATCTGATTTAAAAACATTTGTCCAACGCGTAACGATGAGTTGGTTAATTTTGATACTTAATATCATCCAGAAGTAAAGTAAACAAATTTAATGAATACACTTTTATCGATTTGTCATTGAAGAATTTGATCAATAAAAAAAAAATACATCCAATATGGCGAATGTCAGGATGAAAAAGTAATATATCTCGTATTAGAATGTGATTTGTTTGCAAGATTAACTTAGGAGTACTTTTTAGGATGACTGTAGTGGAATTTTTCGAGATTGAATTACGAGGTATGCCGGAAGGGAAAGAAGGGCTGCGTGTCTTTTCATAGTACGAGGATAGGTACGGGTCGATGTACTTGTAGGGTAAACGACTAATTCGGTTAAAGCGAACGAGCGAGTTAGGTCGCGCCGGGTAAGATAAATCGATGGCCGCGCGTCCATGGTGTCCGCGTGCCGGCGCAGCTCATCGTGCGTGGGTCCTCTGACCCCTTCAAGAGAAAAACAACAGACAACTCCATTCTTTTCTTCTATCTTCATCTCTATCTCTCTATTACATCTTTAGGATTCAATTTCTATCACTCTCTAATCGGCTTAACTTTTCTATCACCGTCCCTGATTTCAATAATTTCCAACATCAAATTTCAAACATCACCTGGTAAGTCCCATAATTAGACTCACTTGGACTCTAGACTCCGGCAAGTTGATCTTCATCGCTACTTCCTCGCGCATAAAAATATCAGGATACTTCGTCTTGGAGAATAGTCCTTCAAGAATATCGAGCTGTGCTCTCGTGAAAGTCGTTCGCTCTCTCCGTTGTTTCCTGGGATTACCTTCGACAGAAGATGCATTACGTCACTGGGAAAACTTTCTAAAATGTATAACGTATTGTTTATTTGCGAACGTGGACGTGTAATTTTGGTCCAATGATTAATATAATATAATTTTCGTTTGTCTCGATGATCACTTGGGACATTCCTTTGAAACATTCAAGAAAATTGCATTTTTCGTTCACGCGAAGATGAAACTTATTTAAATTAATAACAAATTACGAGCAAAATATTTCGATAAATATTTATCTCGACGATAATTATTCGATTAAAGAAAATATAATAATAAATAAATAAAAATTATCTGAAACGATAGGAACGTTCGTTCGGAAATATTTGATTGCCCTACTAACTAAAATAATGTGATTAATTAATCGAAATTAATAATATTTCAAATATATTCAATTTACCAATATGTAATGTCAGAATCTTCGATATTTTATATTTAAATAAGCAACGCTAATGAATATTTTTAATTAAAAGTTGTGACATTATTCAATGATCAATCCAATACATTATTACTGTGTTTCATTCGTTTAAATAGAATATATTTAAAAATTCTCTTGTGTATTTATCGACCAACCCAATGAATCTTTCACGGGACTTGGACCGCTATCAATTGGTACAAATACACAGATGTCGGCAAGCCGCAAGATGATTAACACCAATAGAAATAGAAATAGGAATTAACAAAGAATGTTGTGGGCACTCACAGTAGTATGACTCACCGGCGGGTGTACAAGCCGGATAGCCGATGGTCGAATGAAGGGCCTCGATCGGTGGCATACCCAGGGCACTAACGTAAGGGTTGGTTTTGAGGGCACCGTAAGGCCCAGCCGCGGAAGTACCAAATGCACCAGGGCCAAATAATTCGGAGGCCGAGGTGGTGGAGGCTGCGAGGCCTCCGAGATCGGCGCTGCCGGCACCTCCACTGCAACCGGAAGTCCCGCCGAGGCTATTCGGCCACATCACCACCCCCTCGGCCCCCAGCACGACTCCCCCTCTCCTCCTCCTCCTCCTCCTCCTCCTCCTCTTCTTCTTCTTCTTCTACTCTCGATGTTTCTGAAAATTCAAATTTAAAAGCGTCAGCCGGTAAAGAATATGAAAAAGGAAAAAGAAAACAAAGATCTTAAGCCTGCCCACAGAAAGACAAGAATCCTTTTCTCTTTTGTATGTGTGTGTGTGAGTGTATTATCTATCTATTTCTCTCTCTCTCTCTCTCTCTATCTCTCTCTCTCTCTCTCTCTCTCTCTCTCTCGATGCAACCTAATTCCTGTGACGCGAAAACGCCGAAAAGCAAGAATACTAGCAGCCTCGAGAGAGCACGACCAGCGTTTCTTAAGCCGCTCGTTTTATCCTCTCCGATTACGTACCTTCGAGAAGGACGTTTATCGGTCCCATCATCCTTCACTCTTTCTCTCTCTCTCTCTCTTTTACTTTGTCTTGAAGATGTAAGAAAAAGAGAGATACTTTATATACTTCCCTTTTGGAGGAACACCTTGGGAAGCATTTGCGAGAAAGATATCGTGTCTCCTCACGTCACGCATATGTTTTGGATTAAGAGGCTCTAATCGCATGATAATTAACATCTGCCGCATATGCGAAAAACAATCATATGACGTCCGTCCGCGGAATAGTAATTCCGCCTGCCTGCCTGGTGCTATTTTTTTATCTTCTTTTCTTTTTTTTCCTTTTTTGGTTCCTTTCGAAGCAACGAAATCTTAGAGGCTCATTTTTTAATAAAGTATTGTTCGGCTGTAACTCTGAGCACCGGTTATATTGAAGTTACATTCGAATGAAAAGGAGTTCTGGGCTTCTCCCGCGAAAAGGGTCTCTTCAAAGCGATCACCCAGAACTCGTTCGAGCTTTCTCTCCCTTTGCACAAATACGGATGAAACGGTTGCGCCGCCTCACGAGTGCCACTCCACTTTTCATACTGTTTTATCCCGCTGTGCGAACGATTGGACCACTCCCTTTCCTCTTACTCTCTCTCTCTCTCTTTCTCTCTCTCTCATTTCTATTTCTATTTCTAATGACGATTTTATATTACATACCACTAGACATGTTGATTTACGTTCTTACCATTCACGTGGAATTTCTTGTTCGTAGAAAAATATAATGGGAAATCATTTCATACGTTGAAAAAGAAATTTGTTGTTCGATTAAAGTACCCTTTTCAAAACGAAGATAATGCAACAAGATAGAAGAGGAAGAATATAAAGTAGAACTCGTCAATACCGTCAACGTAAATTTCCATGAAGCAACGAAAAAGAATAAAGAAGCCATAGAGAGATAGATAGGAGTCCTAGCGGTAATTCTAGTTAGAATTCTGTCGCGAGCACGCGATCTGATGAAAAAACTCAAAGGAGGAGGAGGAGGAAGAGGAGGGGAGCAAAAGGTCGGAAAGGGGTGGTTCCGCGGCTGACCACATCCTTTCTCTTTTTATCCGAGTTCACTCGAGAACACGCAGAACAATGCACTTGTTACAGAACGACAAGTGTAGAGAAAATGCCCAAGTCACCACTCGATTGGTTCAGGAGTGTACTCGAGATAGTCTACTACCCCTTCGAGGGTAAAAAGAAAGAGAAAGAACTTTTTCCACCCTCGAGCACCTTCGCCAACCATGCCTTGCTTGTCCCTCGTCCCTCGTCCCTTCTCATTCTTCCTCTCAACGAAACCATCTAGTACTACTCATTGCAAAAACTCACCCTCGTTTCGTCCTTCAAGAGTCCGGTCCTACTGCAAACACTTTGCGTTACCAATCGACGGACCATACACCGGCCCGTACTCTCTAATGATCGTTAAATCCCTGTTATTACATGTCCCACGAGAGATAAAACAAAGATTGTTAAACTCTTCCCTAGTATCAAAATTTCATTTATTCGATCTTACATTTAAGAGATGTGTTTTTCTGTACTATACGGTTCTTCGTAAAATCATCAAATAAATTATTTTTTAATTAACTAATTGTGTACACGAATATTTAGGAATCGTTAGATCCATTACGCGTCAATATTTCTTATTTCTGTATATTATATTATAATAGTCTTAAAGATTTGATAAAAATAAATTGGAAAAACTTCATTAAATTGTATGCCTAATTACCAAAGAATCGTAACGGCTGTAATCTTAACCATCGTTCGAACGTTACTTACAATAAGTAAGTCGTTTTGTAAATACACTTGGTCTCTTTTTATAGATCACTTCTTCGAATTATCGACAATAATATATATGTGTGTGTGTATATATGTATATGCTTGCAAATATAAAAATTTATCAATAAAATAATCATATGTATAGTAAAAGATCATCAAAATGTTTATATAAAATTGTTCTTAAACCGTTTAATTATTTCTTGGTAAGACCAAGATTTCTCATGAATTAACTGAATTATACAGTTTAACGGCAACATAATATATACTACCCCCATACCTATATATAAAATAATATAATATATAGATATAGGTATATTATATATTGTAGGAGAAGAGAGAAGAAAAGCGAAGTTGGTCGGAGCTATCGTAGGAAGTTAAGTTCTGGCTGGCATTGTTTCGAGAAGTGTTTGCACACAAGCGCATTGTTCCTCGAGTGTCCTCTCTGGTATTCGTCGTCTAAGCGCACAATGGACGTTCGCATAGACCTCGATGGTTTTGGCGAACGAACGTTCGTCGTTTGGTCGTCGTCGTCGTCGTCGTCGTCGTCGTAGTCGTAGTCGTAGTCGTAGTCGTAGTCGTCGTTTGGTGCACTGCTTCGAGAGAGCAGTAAAGCACTGGCCCGTCTATAGAACTTTCTATATGCATATACAACACATATGAGAATACATAACAAAGTCTAGGTAGAATAGTAGCTTTACGATCTATATCACCGAGAAAAGGCATAAGGTGGTACTCGTGAAACGAACGAAGCATTAAGCGACGAACGAAATTCGTTTACACGTCGATGGATCTCGTCGATATGAATTCTTCGAGGATACTCGAGGAAAAAAAAAAAAAGAAAGAAAAAAGAAAATACATCCCTCGAAATATCTGCCAATAGAAAAATTTCCTTTTCTTCTTCTTCCTTCCGTTACTTTCCTTCCTTCTCTCTCTTTTTTTTTCTTTTTTTTTCTTTTCTTTTATTCTTCCGAGGAATCACGGAAATTATTCGAAACTTTCGATAAAAAAATTATTTAATCAAACAAAAGAAAGTCGTTTGCCATCTTGCAGTCACGATGCAATTGCATATCTAATGCGTACGATATAATCTTCTTATCGGATTATACCAGGGAAAAGAAAGAAAGAAAAAGTTGGTAGATTAATATCGCGGGCTATAACAAAGATCCAATTTGCTTAATACCGAGGGCAAGAGGTTCGCGAGATACTTAGGAGGCGCATCAAAGCGATAACGATTCGAGTCTGCTCGATATCGAGGCTGAAAGTTTACGAGTCCTGATGCCTAGATTAACACTCTCCTTCTCTCTCTATCTCTCTCCCTCTCTCTCTCTCTCTCTCTCTCTCTCTCTCTCTCTCTCTCTCTCTATGTATATCTATATACATGTTGCAAATGTTAGGACGAAATTCACTTTCTTGCGATACACGCTTCGCTAGTCTCGTCATTAAAAAGTAATTAACATTAAATATATAATTAACTTCTTAAAATGAGCATTTTGCTAAATTAAATTCATTTTCTGTTTCTTTGCTTGTTCGATATTTTGAAATAGCTACAAATTGATATCTTTTTTTATTTAGTATATTTAAAAATATGTAAATGCAATATCCATTCTACTTCTATAGCTATTTCTTTCTTTCTTTCTTCCCTTTCAATTTTTTTGTTCAAACCTTTTTGATTTTCTTTTTGGTGAAAACGAAACTCCAAGAAGGACTGTGCCCGTTAGCACGCTAACATACTATACTCGCGGCGGTGCGCGCGAAGAATACCTGCTTAAGGGATGGTAGCCATGCGTACCGAGTCGTGTACGGGTAGCAAACGATTCCTCGAAGAGTCGCATTCAATGCAATTTAGCCCCGGGGACGCGTCGTTGTTGCGCGTTCATTGAGCGTAAAACTTAATTCCCGTGGAAATTCTGTGAGGTACACCTTCTATATATACATATTATACATATATAGGTATATACATATATACCTTCTTTTTCTTCTCCTTTGCTAGTTAGTTTTTATTCCACTATGAAGAAAAGATTCCAATAGCATCCCTTTCCCTCTCCTCCCTCCACCCTCTCCCTCACTCTCTTTTACTCTTTTTCTTTCTTTCCTTCTTATTTTCTTTTTTCTTTTTACCTATATTTTTCTTTCTCTTTTTTCACCTCGAAAGAGATGAGCCTTCTTGTTCACCCTCTTTTCCTTCCGCCATTTTCTTTCTTCTTTTCCTTTTCTTCTTCCTTCTTTCTTTTCATTTCTCGGTAGCCATCGGCGCCGTTGCCGCTGCACCACATTACATTCCAAACCAATTTCAAGTAGAAGAAAAAGAAGAATGCTATCTCCTTTTTAAATTTGAACACACCATCACCATTACCACAAGCATCACTACCATAAGCACTATGTTGGTGGTCACGTCGATCCATTCCACTCACTCGCTTCGAGATCCATCACGATCTTTCGAAAGATATGAAACCAAGCCGACGAAATGCAACCCTCGAAAGGCCACTTCCGGATGCTTAAATTCTTTATATTTGAAGGATCCTTGTTCTCATTGTTACGTGGATACTTCAAATCTGACTTTCTGCTTGAACGTTTGCTTATGTTATTTCTGTGTTACGTCATAGGTTGCATCACGATTAATATTTCGTTAGGATGTTATCAATGATAGTAGGTCTACTAATTTCCATTGGTTAGCTTGGAAATCCGTCAAAATCGGGCTATCGAGTAACGCTTAATCTTCGTCCTTGGTCGATTCAGCACGAAGTCCAACACTCGTCGTTGGAAGCCTTGGAAATTCTTCTCTCCTCGACGTTCGGCTTCCATGGCCGTTCGATTCCGATGTGATCGAACTATGCCGTTTCTCTACTTTCCACGAACCTGAATTCTTCATAGTCTTATTGACTTTTCTCTCGTTATATACTAATAGCATTAAGTAAATAATCAATTCATTTCTTTATTTTTTTCTTCTTTTTTTCCTCCCCCACTTTATTTCCTTACATTTAGATTTGTCTTCCTCTTTGATTTATTCGGGATTTTCAATTTCAACATTTTCTTTCATTCTTTATCATTACAAACAATGATATATTTAGTATTCCTGATTTCTTCTTTCTTCGAACTGCCCAATGATTCTCATCTCGAACATGATTTAATCTCCAAGACTCCACGATTTTGTCTAATTTCGTCTATTCTACCCAAATCAGGAATTTTCTTCTTTCGTTCCTTTTGTCCAATCCCATTCAATTAAAAACACAACTTTTTCTGCAAGTTATCGGGCTCTTTGTCATTCTTTTTAGCCATGATTGAATATTTCGATAAGACAATTTTCACAATAGGCACATCTTGCACATTAGAAAGAATGATTGGGATAGTAAAGGTTTCTGAAGGAAATTCAGACGTCGGATACGAAATCCCAGCGCCGACTACTAGGATCCGAGACGTACTCTGTGCTTTCGGAGAGGACATTCCACCGCGTATAGACGAACGATAAGGTCCTCCTCGTGGAAGGCGGACCTAAACCTGGAGGGAGAGTCGAGCCAAGAAGATTACCGTAAGCAGATTATTTCCGTGGAAATCCTGCTGGCCAACTACTATCTCGGCACGTTGCTTACTATGTCATCGTTTCTCCTGACTTTCCTCGACTCCGTAGACAACTGTTTGATAAAAATCATTGAGCAATAAGGAAATCGTTGATCAAATAATATGTTCCTGTTGCACGAAGAAATCCGTCCCAACTATTCGATCGATCATTTTAATCACGAAGCCTATAGCTTACTGATTTTAATTTTCTATCAACGATTTTCAACGAACGAAATTTATGCGAATACAACGACAACAACAACAAAAAGAAAAGAGAAAAACGCGAACTATGTTTTATTCTTTCTTTTTTTTTTTTTTTGCTTACTTGTTGATTATTTCCTGGTAAACGTACACCATTTCTATTTTCTCTCGCAAAATTTTCGACCAATCGTCCAGGTATTGCGTGCGAATTTGTATGTATATGTGTATCTCTATAGGTATATACATAGGTATGGTATATATAAATAGATGTATATATATATTATATACCTATATTCTCCGTTTCAGTTGGATGAAAGCTTTACGGCTCGCCGATTAAACGTCGGAGTTTTCGATGTGGGTATTCGTTCGCCGCAGTACCCGATTTCAATTGATTCGGATGGCTGGATCTCTCCCTCTTCTTTCATCACCCCTCTCTCACCCCCTTTATCTTTCTTTCTATTTAGTTCTACATTTTCTTTTCCACGTTTACATTACGAAATGTAATCGCGGAGAAGGAAAATTGACAAATAATAATTATCGAGAAATAAACACGGAAAAAGAAATCAAACGACGAAATAATAATCAAAACAAAAAAGAAAAAAAAAAGACGAAAGAAAAAGAGAATAAGCGGTCGTTATTTTAATTTTTCGTTTACAATTTTGTTTACCAACGCCCGAGTCATCGTAAACTTTTCTATGCAATTAGTATATCGCTGAAATACTTAAAAAACAAACTACGAATTGGAGAATTGTTTAAAACCTATTAACCGATAAGGTAACGGTGTAATAGCTCTTTGGGACCATTTCAGTTCTTTACTATGCAATGAACGCGAGAAAACAAAATAAAAAATAACCTCGCTTACCTTATCGACAATAATTAAAGCAGTAATACTAGCTATTTATTTCTCGCTAGAAACAACGTAACAAACGATATTCTATAACCGTTATTCCGTTTATCTTTTTTAAATTCCATGCGACACGTGGAAAATACTTTTACGAAATAAAGATCCGCTATTCAAGGTTAACGAAAACGGACAAGATAAAATAATCGCAAGTCTACGAAAACTTACCGAAAATAATCAAGTAATATAATGCAAATAAACACTGTGATATCGTGGGGATAGAAAAGAGCACGACCAAATGGTTACAGAGAGATTTAAGAAGAAGCACATACCGATGTCAATATACAATTTTTTCCTAACACAGTCAGTGCACGGAAGCCAGGGTCGATGTTACGAAACGCGTTTGGATCGATAGACCGCACGAACAGAGAAAATTCCTTTCTCTCACATCACTTGTTTGGTGTTATCATCGAATCACGAAAAACTATTGCAAAGTAATCGTGGCTCGTCGGTTGAGGAAAAATAGCAAACGAATAAAAAAAAAAGGTAAGACCTTTTTTATGGACCTGGCTCAATCATCTTGATCGTTCTGTCGTGATAACTTCTGTCCCATTTACACTTTGATTAGATCAGGGAAAAGAGAGAGAAAGAGAAGGAGAGAAAGAGAGAGACAGACAAACAGCTAGAAAGAGGGAGAGGGAAAGAGATAGTGATAGAGAGAACGAAAGAGAGAGAGAGAGAGAGAGAGAGAGAGAGAGAGAGAAAGGAGAATCTGTCTCTACTCACCCAGAGTTTGCCGTAATCGGCAGTAGAAGAACTGATGAACGTCAAAAATCCTCTTCTTCTTCTTCTTCTTCTTCTTTTTCTTGCTAATCCAGTGAAGAAAGAATCCGCAAAGTGTATTGTCGAAAAGATAGGAGTCCGATGACGATGGGTTTGGGTTAAATCAGTTAACGTAACACACCGTGTCGTCGTATTGGTCGTGTTCGTGCTGTCGATCGGTGAACGAAAAGGGGCAAGTTAGGTGTTTTCGATCGACAACTCACAGTACACACGCTTGCCTTTACTCTGGCCGGTCACCACGACGTTTCGCACCAGCCGAAACGCGACCGACGGAGGAGAGTAGAACGCACGAGAACGACAGAGAGCGAGAGAGAGAGAGAAAGAGAGAGAGAGAGAGTGAGAAAGTTTAAGGGAGAAAGAGAGGGCGCGATTCGTTGGGGGCGGGGGCAGTACGGGGAGCGTGCGTGCGGCCAGGACGGTCGAAGCGAGTCGGAGCGACCGAGTGCTTGGATATATACACCGATAATGACTATTCTATTCCCTAATCCTGGTCCGTGCGATTGGCTGCTCTTCTCTATCTACTTCTCTCTTTCTCTTTCTCTTTCCCTTTCTTTATCTCTCTCTTTTTCTCTCTCTCCCCCTCTCTCTCTCTCTCTCTCTCTCTCCCAGATGTAGGTATACAGCAATGACGAGTCGTCTCTGGAACGAGCCACGTTAGACGAAGCTAGCTACAGATGGACAAGAATAGAGGTAGAAACAGAGTTGGGATATATGTATATATATACATATATATATGTATAGAGAGAAAGGGGGAGGAAAGAAAGAGAAAGAGAGATCACCAAAAGCAGCTATTATAGGTACACGCTTTCCGTGATATGCGCGTAAACGTGTGTGTATGCGAGCGAGGATGTATGTGTATATGATAGAAGGAACGAGAGAGAGAGAGAGAGAGTGAGAAAGAGAGAGAGAGAGGAGAAGAGAACCCGGCTAAACTTTTCACGAGAACTTTAGTTGTTACGGATCGCTCTCTTGGTCGAGGGGTTATGGGCGCGAACGTACGAACGAGTGAGAGATAGAGAGAGAAAGAAGCTGTGCGAAGGAGAACGAGAAGAGAGGAGAAAAGAGGGGTGTATGCGCGCGTCCTCTAAAACCTTGGTGGGGACCAGCCTCGAGTGCTGGTGGGGCTATACTGAGAAGTCGAGTGGAAGGGATTCTCTATGCTAGCTGTCGGTTGGCGTTTCTACCTGGTGGGGGAAATGAAGTCTGCGGAGTGGGGATACCCCCACCAAGCGCAGACCTACTACGCTGCAGTGTTCATTCGTAGCACGACTTAGGGCCGTTCCTGATGATGGTGGGCGTCATAGTGGGGAACCAATCGCGCTTTACGATTCGTCAAGCGACGTTAACAAAAATATATTTTCTCTCCCTACGAACTCGATGTCTTCTTTCTTTCTCTCTTTTATGCTTTGCGTTGTTCCTTTCTCTTTCCCTCTCTTTCTCTCTCTCACTCTCTCTCTTTCCTCTCTCTTTCTTTTCCTTTCCATCTCTCACTTTTGCTCTATTCATCTTCCTTCCTACTTCATCGTCCTACGCGAATAGATTGCGAGAAAATGGGCGAACGTAACTCGCTATTTTCAAATATTTTTCACCGATCGTCCCGAGTATTTCCTTCCTTTCTTCCTTCCTTCCTACCTTCCCTGAGGATGGCGATAATGGCGGAGAAAATATGCGACGATTGTTTTCCTCGAAAGAGAATCGTAATATCGAGCTGATGATGTCTTCTGGAATTGATATTGTCTATCGGAATAAACAGACTCTTTTAATATTGTCTTATTTAAGTGGGGACAGGAATTATGAAAGGAGATAAGGTATCGAAATAATTGAAAATAGATCTCGTTAATTGATCTATATATTTACCTTTTATTTGCTTCATTCGAGCGGGATATTTTGATCTCATTTGTCGATACGTTTTTCTTCCCTTTCTCCTCTCTCTCCCTCTCTTGTTGTTTTTTTTTTTTATTTGATGGACCGATCATCCCTTTCTTTTGATACACTCTGTAGTCAGGTGATAGCTAGGTACCCCGCTTCGTATACCCGCATCATAGCAATTTAACTTGCTCACGTGCGAGCGGTTAATGCTCTTACGGGATTTCGAAAAGATCAGCCAGCATTACTACGCTATTAGCGTAACTAAAACCGGCTTGCTTCCATAAACCTGTACTAACATGTAGCTACTTTATTCACGGGCGGCCCATTCATGAAACTCTTAGCCAATTTTCCTCATTGACCGATTGACGGAAGTATGGGATCCACGCGACGGTACCTCAACTTACCTTCTCTTGCATCTTAATGAACCGATGAATATCATTCCACTTGTTTCTTATATCATTGGCTTTTATTACCTCGATGAAAGACGGATAAATAATTCAATATATTTAATGTCCTTGTAGCTCAGAATAATCTAACGTATACTTTAACAAAATTAATAAAATTAATGCAAAGTTGTAATATCTCAAATAGATCAATGAAAATCAGACAAACTAAGGCGATATTTTTCTCGAAAATAATTTCAAGATTTCTTAACTTTATTTACACGTTATCTCACGGTTATCGACTTTCCTGATTTTTCGTATAATCGTTCGCACCTTTGCTATCTCGTATATACAACTCGCCACACCGGTTTCAATTAGTGTTACTCAGGAGTCCAACGATGCTCGTTATACATGCTCGTCATCGGATAAAGTAAACTTTTAAAGTGCCGGATTATTGGTTCTGATATATGTCAGAGCTTGCTTAAAGTTCCTTTTTTCATTTTCTCTCTCTCTCTCTCTCTCTCTCTCTCTCTTTCTCTCTTTCTGTTTTATCTTTACTTTATTCCTTTACCTCATAACAGTAATTAACGTTTCAATTTTCAACGACGATCGGTCCCTCGACAATATCATATTAAACGGCCATTAAAGTGAGAATAAATTTTTCAAAACTCGCATAAATAGATGATATATTGATAACGATCATTTCGTTTACCTTCATTCGATATTTACGAAAAGATTGTTAAATCCTGGGAATTATCGCTGACACAAATTTCTTTTGATACATTTCCTGCGGTATTTCTCTCTCTCTCTCTCTCTCGTTTGGCAATTTGATTAAATGTTAATAATAATAACAACAATTTAAATTAATCAACAACCGATGTAATCATGTTGAGAGAATGAAAACGAATTAAAAAATCGCATCGATAATTCCGTGTCCATGTATTTATTTTATTTTATCAACCGAAACACGAATAATACCGTTGACCAATAATAAAAAAAAACATACCAAAAAGTAAACGTGCACATCAAAGATGAGAAATTGACATTAATAAATTGAACGATCGATAATAATGAAATATATCTTTTATTTAAACTAAAAAGAGTATATCTAATTAATCGAAGATATTTGTTGGGCAAAGGTAAGAATGGAAATAATAATGATCCACTTAGAACATGATCGGAACAATGATGTTAAAGACAAGAGAAGAGAAACGTTTCGAGTATCGTTTCAAACGATCTTTGTGATCTTTTCGTACCACGACTTAAAGACGATCCTCTAACTCTTTCTCTCTTTCTCTCTCTCTCTTTCTTTCTTTCTCTCGTTAAACGATCGATGAGGAGCACCACGTCCCGTACACCGCGAAAGCGCATTCGTCCGGGAGCTTAAAATGCTCCGGGTTTTATATAGAATGTAGTTCATGCTCATCATCCCGCAGATCAGCCGGCTGAGCCGTTCGACAAACTGTTCGAACAAAAAGTACTGAAAAAAAGACAACTCGGTGCAAATAACCTTTGCTGCGTTTCATCCCTCGTCCCTTTCTCTCTCTCTCTCTCTCTCTCTGTTTTCGCGTTGTCTCTATCTTTCTTCAACGTATACTTACGTTAGTCGCGTTGTGTAGAGAGAGAGAGAGAGAGAGAGTATATATATATGTATATGTATATGTATATGTATATATATATATATATATATATATATATCTCTTTCTTCGTGTTTCCATCTCCCTTCCTCATTCCTTACCCGCGTAGGGCAAGGCTCATTGATGAAGAGAGAACGGAATTTGAAACTGAGGCAAGCCGCTTACGAAGCTTTCGCGTAAATCACCGGTGAAAGTCACCGTCGAGTTACCAAGTCAATGAATTACCAACCACGACGAGAGAATACACCGAGGTCACACGCGTCTTTCAGTTAATCGTGACTATTCTCTTACTCGATAGAAACCAAAAATCGTTTATGATTTGTTTTAATTATTATCGATTTAATCGTCGTTCTAAAAGATCACTATTAAATAGAATATCAAAAAGTGTGTATTTAATAAAATATGTTTTGACGAATCGTGTAGAATTAAATGATCAAAGAAATGATTATTTATAAATGAATCATTAAATAATAATAATATTAATAATATACATGCATAAGTGTAATCTTGGTAATATACATAATTAATAAGAATAATTATTATATTTAAATTTGTAATTATCTATTATTATTAATATTGTCGTTTATAATAATTATTGAATATTAATAATAATAATAATAACGATAATGATTATTATTAATCAAGTTTGATATGCGGTACATCGATATTTTTTCTATTACTAGATCGTATATTAAAGTAAAAATAAAACGATAAAATTTCGATTCGATTACAATCGAGGAAAGGACAACTACCGTTCTCGAATTACCGATTCATTGGTAGTAATACAAATTCGATCGACTACATCTACACGATTCCGGACTCCATTGGAGGTATTATACGTCTGAGAAATCCTCCTTGCTGCTTAACCGTGACAACGAATGTCATTGATAATGATTGATCACGTTACTTTAGATGGAATCACGAAAGAGAAAGAGACGGAGACTGGGAGAGGGAATTTGAACGTACCCACTAGAAGCTACAATCATACATCCAGTTTATTCTTTTCTAAGAAACTTTTGCCGGTCATCTCGAAGCAATCCCTACGGGAACTCTTGAAAACTCGCGAGAAGTTTCTTAACTCTACAGGTGTGCGACATTTTTCAAGATTGGGAGAAAGATTATTTTCACACGCGAGAGTTAGATTTGTTTGTTTTTCGCGTGAGACATTGTTATTGAATTTTTCAAGACAATCCTAATTTTAATTTGAACAGAAATCAAATACCTAAACACAGAATGAAATCAACTTGGAATCTCTCTCTCGTTCGGTTTGAGAAATTTGTAAGTATCATTTCAATATGCAATAAATCGTTCAATAGTTGTTATAATAAAAAGAATTGTGTATACAACAAATCAGCCGAATTGAAATGGATAACAGAATGACTTTCTCGCGTATATAATTCGATGCGTCCCAGACAATGGCGGACTCTTCACGTGGGCTCCCGTGGCGGGCCCAATCTAACCATCCATTCACGTAATTCTGCATCGTAATACTCGCGGGACCTAGGAACGATATTGATCTCGCGTATGTGTAGTCAATAATAAAATCGACTACCCGACGGTCATTCACCTACATCGTCATCGCTTTACCATGAATTTTATTCACCTTGTCAAAACAGACGATGAAGTCGAACGTCTCGATCATTTTCACGTATATGCGTGAGAAACGATCCTTTGAAGTCCGTTAACAAACCATGACGAATATCGCTAGAGTAGGCTTACGAGCTATTTGTAAATTGAAAAATTCTAATGATACATATATTCAGTTAGCTTTTGATACGATATAGCCATTTTATAAATCTAATAGAATATTTATCTATCTTATTTGTAATATTTTTCAACTATCAAATAATTTCATTCACATAGATATCAGTAAATTATTGTGTAATAAATGAAAATATTAAAAAATATCTATTAAAATGATTCTAATTTATGCGAAACTTATGTGATCTCACCTAGTTAAAATATTTTTACTTTATTTAACATAAAATAATATATTTTTTATCCGGACATTCTCGTTTACACGTAATCTATAATAAAACACTATAATAAATCTTTCATACGACGATATCAAATGAGATTTGATCCTTCTCCGCTTGTCTCCACTTGGCGTTCTGCTTCAGCACACTCAATATAATGCTCGTTTAACGTCTTGGTCATTTTACCAACAAGTAGCAAACCTAACTACGATATCCGATAATTTACGATACGCTATACTAGTTTTATGACTGCTAACGAAAGCCTTTATAGGTCGTCAACCTGCTGGTTAAATAAATTTCGAAAAATGAACATCGCGCTACGTTAAATTTTGATGTCACCTGTACAATTACATTTTCCGGAAGAAGAGACACCGGAAAAGATCCGAAATTCTTGATCTCTTCACGTCTCCCACATTTGTTGTCCCTAAAATCGTAGCGAGACTAACGAGTTTTTGATTGGTTGTACGACTATTGAGATCACGGTCAGCAAAGGTAGCTAGCTGCATTCAATAACTACCTGCATGTCCAATTTTTCTTCCCCTTTTTTTTCTTCTTCTTCTTATTCTTCTTCTTCCTTGTTATTGTCCGTAAAAATGATTTCGAACGACGTGAGAATTTTCAACTGCAACGAAATAAAGGAAAGAAATAAATTGACGTTGTATTATTATTATCGCATTTCTAAAGAAAGTATTGAAATACAATGTCGACGAATGATCGGTTCGCGGGCTTTTCGAGCAAAAAATGTCAGCTGACTCACGTAACTCGTTGTCAGAGGTTTAAAGATGAATACTTCGAAATGAATTAGTTTTCAACGATCATACTTTTCGATCATACGAACTGATCATACGAATTCAATAATATTCACGTGAATTATCCATTTGAAATGCTTATTGAAACAGTGCACAACTTGTACGGAACAAATTTTTGTTCTTTCGTTAAAATAAAAAAATAAAATTTAATATTTTAGAATTCATTATTAAGGACAAATCCATCTCTCGAATCAAATAATTCAAGTGAATGTCGTAACTATCGTTCCTTTCCTGGTCCACCGCTTTTAATATTATCTTTGAAGTATCGTAGAAGAAGCATCAGACCTCCCGAATCGTTCAGAACGAACGAAAATAGGAAGAGAAAAAGATCTGTTGTACCGACCTCGACCAGTCGAGATTTCCCTAGGGAATATTGCTCTGAAGTATGGGGCTGCAGAGAGAGAGAGAGAGAGAGAGAGGTAAAGAGGTAGATAAAGAGAGAGAGAGAGAGAGAGAGAGAGAGAAAGGGGCTTCGGCTGTTAGCGATCACAAATAGGCTATTACGCGGCCATTAATAGAGTACAGCCACGAAGCATGCACTATGCGAAACACGAATCGCCTGATATCAGACTTCCATCAAGCTGAAATTGCTCTCTCTCTCTCTCTCTCTCTCTCTCTCTCTCTCTCTCTCTCTCTTTCTCTTTCTCACTCGTTATAAATACGTGTATTCACACATGCATGTACTCTCTTTCCACAGCAGTGGCCTAGCACGGTGGTATAGGGTTTCCATGAGCCCTAGAGACCAGTAACCCGAGATTCACTTTGTGCGTAAGGTTCCGCATTGTGCATACGCCTGGCACACGCATCTAATACGCAACGTTTCGAATTTGATAGCTGTTCGATCTTAACAGTCGTTATTTCTTATTTATTTGTCTTATCTTTTCTTAATTATTCATTATATTTATATTTTTCTCGTCATTTAGATTTTATATATTATTTGTTATTTTTTGTTTTTTGTTTTTTGTTTTTTATAACGACTGATCGAATATTTAAACAGTGCTCAATGTTGTGTTAAAAATATAACGATCAATTAGATATTATCGCAAGATAATTTCTTCGACAGATTTTGTTGTCTCTCATAAGTCTAATCAACTTAAAAGTTCCGACATTGAAACGTCAAAAAGAGCAACGAATGAGAAAGTGATCTTTGATAATAAGCATAAGCCAGCCTAATCGAATAGTCTGTGACGGAGTGGCAGGGCACGTGCCGGTGGAACATCGAGTAACAAAACTCGAGCTCGTAGTTAGTTCCTAGTTGGTCGGTCAACATCAACGCCTCGAATGTTTGACCTACCCCTTAGCGCTGATTCTCTCTCTCTCTCTCTCTCTCTCTCTCTCTCTCTCTTACCCTCTAGCGATCGTGCACGCGTGTGCTACTCTTTTCCACCCTCTTAGAACTCAACAGGGTGCTCAATAAATTAAATATATATATACACCTACATCGATGCGTATTTTTATCAATAAATTTTTGTTTATCTCAACTTTATCCTCATATTAATATCAATAAATTAAATATTTATTTAATACCATTAAAAACGTAAAACAGAAACGTTTATAATGAAGTTTCCCGAAGAATGAATGAGTGAATAAGTAAGAAAATAAAAATACCAACCTTTATCTGCCTAGTCGTTAAAATTGGTCACGATTTTCACGTCAATGGAAATTCTTTTGGCGATTTTTCGTTAAAAGGCTTTCGCAGGATCGTTGCCGTTAACGTCAGGTGTTTCAGATAATTATGGGAAAGTTCGTGTGACAGGCTGAACTTTCCCGAAGGTAGCTGATCCTATCGCGTGTGAGAGAAGACAACGGGAACATCGGTACCGGTGATGATGAATTAGCTTAGAGAAAATTGAGCTATTGTTAAATTTCAATGATAACAAAAAAAACCTATCTCGTAATTTAACGTCGGATGGTAAAACCAATTAGCGAGATCACTTAAAAATGTATACCCGTTTATCTCTCGCAGTTTATCGAAGCGATAATAAACAACGTAAACATCGATGCAAACGCAGCCACAGACATGTACACATACATACACACGCGTATTATACACATATAATAGATGAATCGGTAGCAGTATTCAGACATCCAGAGAGCAGCACGTGGCGCTCATTAGGATCGATTAGCTCCTAGATCCTGAAGATGTTTGCTTTGCTTTGCCCGACGAACTTAGTGATGTTGAATTTCTGAGAAACGTTGAATCGAATAGTAGAACCGATAGGATGGATGGACAGATGGATAGACGTATACGCAAGAATATAGTAGTAGAATGGATAGGAAGAGGAAAAGGAAGAGGATGAGGAAGAGGAGGATGAAAGAGGATGGCTGAGTGGGTAGGTAGGTAGGTGAGTGGGTGTTTGGTTGGTTGGTTGGTTGCTTGGTTGGTTGGTTGCTTGCTTGCTAGCTACGAAGGGTAGCAATCGGGTGGTGTAGAAACGAGGGTGGCCGAATGTATAGGAAGAGGAAGAAGAGGAGAAGAGCTAGAATGAGAAAGATAGATAGGTAGATGGAAAGAGAGAGAGAGAGAGAGGGAAAGAGGGGTTGGGAGGGTTGAACAGGGAGTCGAACGGGGGGTTGTAAGCGGCTTACGTCCGCCGAGCAGAGAGCGACTCCTCGCTAATTATTTATAGGACCCTCTCTGGGCTCTCTTCTCGTGCACGGTAGATCCTTCCTAGAGAGGAGTTCTCTTCTCTTCTCTTCTCTCTCTCTCTCTCTCTCTCTCTCTCTCTCTCTCTCTCGCTCTTGCTCCCGCTCTCTCACCCATTCTCCTTTCATCTTAACATCCTTCTCCTCCAACATTTTCTTTCTATCTCTCTCTTTTCATCTCAACATCCTTCTCCATTCTCTTTCTTCCTTTCTTTCTTTCTTTCTTTCTTTCTTTCTTTTCTTTTCTTTTCTTTTCTTTTCTTTTCTTTTATTTTTTTATTTTTCTTTCCTCCCTTCTTTCCTTCCCTTTCTTGTTTCTCTACCTCCACTCAGCATGAAAGTTATAACTGCGCCCGGTTGCTACCGTGCTAGCACACTGTCCTTCTTTCCTTCCTTCCTTCCTTCCTTGCTTTCTTCGGATCTTTAAAATGGAAAAGCTGCGTCTCCTTGAAAGAAAAAGATAAACTTTTAGCGCACTGAGAGACGAAGCTTTCGCGGATGACTCATAGGTAATGAAACTCTTCTCAGGGAATATTGAAATATTTCAAGGTAGAATTTAGATTGTCTTAATAATATAATGTTCTATTTATTTATTTATATACGTTTTATGTGCGGTCATACAAGACATTGACTCTATAAACTGGTTTTTCTTTCTTTCTTTTTTTCTTCCTCTCTCATACTTCACGTAGGAATATACCTACATACATATATAAACACGCACACACGCACACACACACACACACACATATATATATATATATATACTTCTTCCCCTCTATGTCAGCGACGGAAACCGACGGTCCATTTTTTAGGATTACCTGCGGACGCTTCTCGTGGCTTTGCACGAGAAAAGTAGACGATAGAGGGTGGACGATAAAGTGAGTGAGAGAGAGAGAGAGAGAGAGAGAGAGAGAGAGAGAGAGAGAGAGACAGAGAGAGAGAAAGTAGGAACGTGCGTGGTAGAGAGAGCAAAACCCAAAAGCAGAAGGGGGTTTTTACTGGAGCCTATACGAGAAGCAGCTCGTGAAGAGAGAGAGGAGGGAGAGAGAGAATGTTTGGACAGAGGGAGCTTAACAATGCATTCGCGCCCCCTTGACTTCCTGGCGGAGCTTCTGATCTTCCTGACGGACCTCGACTACCTCCTGGACGTCGAGAAAAATTGGGTCGCTCGTTTATTCTCTTTCTCTTTCTCTTTTTTTCTTTTTTTTTTCTATATTTTCTTTTCCATTTTTTTACTTTTTATTCCACGATGAAAGCGCTCGCTTTCTTATTCTTTCTTACTCTCTCTTTCTCTCTCTCTCTCTCTCTCTCTCTCTCTCTCTCTTTATTTCTATCTCTCTCGTTCGGTCTTTCAAAATTGATCAGGACATTTCCGTTCGATCGATGACGCGAAGATACGGAAGAAGAGAGTCGCTGTTTGAAAGGAAATTTTTAAAGGAAATAAAAAAAAAAAAAAAAAAAAAGGGAATGAGAGAGGGAAGACGTTCGTTCTTGGAATCTCGAAGCCCCGTCGTGGACGTTCACCTAATCCCACCCACCGCCTTCATGAACCTCGTCCCGAAGGTAATATTCCCAATTTTTTTTTATCCTCCCTTTTCTTACTTTTTTCTTGTTGATATCTGTTCCGAGAGGATAACCGACGTATAGGTCGACTCCTTATTTTATTATAACAAATTTATTTGATTAGAATTTAGTGTTAATTGTGTAAATCATTATAATTGTTCGTTATAAAATTATTCGTATAAAACGCGTAAGTTAAAAAGATAGCATCATCAGCGATTTGATCTTCGGTATTTGGTAGATGATCTCAGCAAACGTCTCTCTAATTATCGCGGAACATCGGTGAGAATTTGATAAAAAGTTTGAGTTGCGTGTGCACGAGTCCAGGCTAAGCAAGGGACCGCAATTGAACGAAAGGGAAAAAGATCAAAGCCGAGAACGTTTCGTTGCTCTCCAACTCGGTTCTTCTACAATCGAATTTGAATCAAGTGAAATAAAGAGAGGAAAAAAGAGAGAGAGAGAAAGAGAGAGAGAGAGAAAAAATGATTCGATTTACTCGCGAGTTTAAAACTGCCGCTTATAGAGCATTAAACGATCCACTGTTAAAGTGGGAAGGAGAAATCGAATTAGGAAAACGAGAAACTGTCCTCTTTGATCCACCGTCCAATATCGAACTAACTTCTTCTTCTTTTTTTTCTTCTTCTTCTCGTTCACTCTTTCATATCTACTCTCTCACTCTTTTGAAAACAATGCTAATCAAGGATTTCTCGATTTAATTCAGAAATATAAATTACCTTTATCAAGTTTTTTTTTACCGTCGAGTGAATTTCAATCATCGATAAATTTCTATAATCTTATATTTAATTAATTAAATATAATATTTTCGAATATTTTACTTAGAAAAAGATAAAGAAAAAAATATGAAACAGTTTGTTACCCGTTAAATGTGTCGAATAAAATTAATATAATTAACAACGATAATACAAAATGTAAGTAATAATTACAATGAATAATAAGTTACGTTATCGTCGCTATAATTTCAATCGTTATATTTGTTCTTTATGACCAAATTTATACAAGTTATTTCGTAACTAACGATTAATAATTATTTGACGTTCGTTCGCATAACAGCGAATTATTGCACCTGCAATATAATCGTCGTTATCTTTTTAGAAGTATCAACGAACGACCACACCGGTTGAATTGGAAACGTCGATGTCTCACATTTAATCCTCCCTTAATCGGAGACAGAATTATAATGTTGGCATCATTAGCGCGTCGATTCGGTATGTTGCGGCTTAACCACAAATTCCCAGATATTTTCGCGCACTTCGCGTTCATTATTCATGGTTAACGAGTACAAGTATGATACTCGTTCGAGGGACGCAGGTGAAAAGTGTAATGAACGTAAACAGTTGGACGGACATTGTTCTCACCTGGGTCCAAATTGTACGAGCTGGACACTTGAGAAAAAAGAATTTGAAAATTTATAAAAAGTAACAAAAGAAAAAAAAACAAAAAGAAGCAAAAAGAAATAAATAAAGATAGAAGAATATACACGTGTATATCGATATATATATATGTATATGTATCAATATATCTTTTAATCGGGTGTCATGATCGATCTTTGGTACGAATAAACGACAAGATAGTTATAAATCTTGTCGTTATGCGCGAAGTATGCGAGAGTAATAAATAGTAATCTAACTAATCGTCGAGAAAGATCGTAAATTTATATGTAGCTATATACATACATATAATATATATATATATATATCTTTATCTCTCGTGAGAGAGAATGGATGTGTAAAAAAGAAAGAGAAAGGGGGAGAGAGATTCAGACTAAGTAATTATATAGTATCATGACAGGTATTTAGACTTTATCGCGATTATGTCATCGACTTGTCGGTCTTTGGAGATTGATCGTTCGTAGATATCTCGATCAAATATATCCCCTAAATCATACGATGAAAATTTCATGAGAAAAAAGAACCTTTAGAATATTTCGCAAATGATCGCAAGAAATGGACAAAGGAAACCAGTTGTGATGCTTTCTTCTTTCTAATCGCTAAAATGCATCTTGATGTAGAATAACAGAGAAAGAGAGAGAGAGAGATGGCGGTAGGGTTTCCAAGAAAGTCTTGATTTGTGTATTCGGGGGTGGAAAAGAAAGGTAAAGGGGTGGTCGGAGACATAATACAAGTATTAAGTATTGCTAAAGCTTTCGAAGGCAAAGGGAAGTACTTGCAGGAAAGGGGTTGAGAGACAAAGAGACTTCAGGAGAGAGAGAGAACCGTTTGCAAGGATAGGTAGGTAAGTCGGGGCTTAGCCCGGTGACACAGTGAGCGGAAGCAAGCCATGGAGCTTACTGCCGGCTCCGAGTTGTTATAATGGGATCCGGCTAAACGCAAGCCGATTTTAACTCTTCGCCGCAATACTCGGCCAAGTTCAAGGTCATTGTCTTCAACGTGCACGAAAGTGTGTGTGTGAACGGACGAATAGACAATTCTCCTCTTCGTCTTCGTCTTCCTCTTCGTCTTCCTCTTCGAAGAATTCCAAAATGCTTCTAAACCACCTATCGGGATAAATCTTCTTCCCTATTTGACCACGTTCGAGCCTATTCGATAAATCGCAGCACCTGTTGAACCTACCTTTTCTCGATCTACTTAAACGATATCATACAGATTCATCTTTTACGTATTATTTATCTTACGCGTTCTTAGTTTCGAGGTACGAAATAATTGACCTTTGATCATTCTTTTCGTTTACAAAAATAATATACCAATAAAATGTATATTTCAGTCTCTTTCTCTCTCTCTCTCTTTCTCTATCTATCTCTCTCTGTCCCTTTCTTTAATAACAATTCCTGTTTCTTTTAACTCGGAAGAAAGTCAAAGAGAAAGGATTTAGATGTACTATGATGCAAAAGGGTCATCAAAGGATTCGTCGCTACCAGCCGATTTGTTATAGCTCGTTAATTTGATGAGTTAGAAAGGACGTTGGGATTAATCCGTCAAAAGGTAGACAGGTAGTAGTACGCGATCCGTCCAATTAGCCAAACGTGCTCGGACTCTCCTCTCGTTTTCAGCTGCATAGGGATCCTTTGTTACGATGTTTAGACCATTTAGATGACTATATACACATACATATACATATCCATATATACATGCATATATATATGTATATTATAAATACGCTTTGCTCTTGCTACTACACACCATAGGATTCGCTCTTAAGTGTACCCACCTACCACAGCATCCGGTACACCTGTGATCCTTTAATGAGCCGTTATGAAAGCCACTACCAAAGCTGATGATAAAGCTTTCCCTACATCTTGTCTTATCGACTTGGATCATCTCTTACAAATAATCTCTCCTTCTTCTCTTCTCCCTGTATCTCTCTCTCTCTCTCTCTCTCTCTCTCTCATTCTCTCTCCAGCTTTTATCTATTATATATAATTAGTTGTATCACATCCGCTTAATATTTGTATTTATTCCTATCTCTGTAGTGTTTTTTGTTTTTCTTTTCTTTTAGTCATACGTCAAAGTTTAGTAATAAATTTGATCATGATAAATTGTCTATCTTCGTGCTTGACCACCAACTTGTAATTAATATCACGCTCGGTGTCATCCGATCGATAACTTGGGGAGTCCGTTAAAATAATGGAGAATCCGGTGGTTGAGTTGTAACGTTAGTTAATACCAGGATGCATTAACAGAATTGCACCCGGAGGCTGTGGGGTTTTTTGCGAACGCATCAATGTGATTAATAGAGACGGGTATTGCAATTACCACCATAGAATTCTTCTATGTATAATACAAGTTATCGAAATGTATATATTTTTTTTTTTTTTTTGGTTTTTCCGTTCAAAGGTCAGATAATCAACAAAGTGAGTGCGCCGCGAAAATGTTTTTTCTTTCTCTCTACTTTTTATATTACACGCGTAACATTTTTTCTTTATTTCTATTCTATGTTTTATATTTCTCTTTTTATGTTTGTTTTGTTTTGTTTTGTATTGTTTTGTTTAATTAAACAAAAACTTGCACTTACCGTAGATCGATCTCTCCGATCTCGATTAAAAAAAAAAAAGTATCTCTACGAAAAAGTGGATCGCTTTAATGAGTTTACGAGAGAATAATGTATTATTAATATCTTGTTTTTTATTATTATTATTATTATTATTATTATTATTATTATTATTATTATTATTATTATTATTATTTGTTTTTTTGTTGTATGAAGATTTTTTGCATTGCTTGCTTCTTACATCATAGTACAACAACCACTTATATCTTACAATCAATCTACGTGTCAATTTATCAATTTATGTACATTCCTAGGATTACTTTTAATCATTATCAGTAATAATAATATTAATTATAATACGTTTCTTATTCTTATCTATATAATAACTACTATAGTTGTTATTTCTCTCTTATCGTTAAGATTATTATAATTATTATTCTTATAATGAACAGCATAGTGTTCGATACGCGTGTTTTCTTTTATTCTTTTTGTTAATATTTCTAACTTAGCATTAACATTAAACAATATTTGTTTATTTTCTTATTTCCTATTATTTCCTTAACTAAATTATTTGCTCGTTAAACTAATCGGATATCACCGCATACATCCATTATATTTCATTGAAGATTTCAATACACTCATGATGTAACCAAAACTAAAAATGCGTTTCATCGATTAACGTAGAATGTTAATTTTTATTTTCTTTCCAAATAACACAATCGTTCGCTTTCCCGTTACAGTCTGGTCTATTTCATTTTAACAAGTAAGCAATTATTTTGACATTATCTTAAATCTTATAATCTAAATGTGTGTGTGTGTGTGTGTGTGTGTGTGTGTAATCAGTTCATTGTACAATCCCGACTTTGTAATTTGTTTTTTTTTTTTATTTCTATTCACAGATATCTTCAACTTATCAAATAGACAGACACTTTTTTTGATATGAATAATTAGAAATATAGAAATGTTCGTTCATTGCAATAACGAATAGACGCATATATCCAAGAATAATATCTAACAATAGAAACGGCAGTGCTAGGAAAGGGAGGTGCGCGGCGCCAAAAGCGAGAAATCCTACAAATTACAAGCGACATATCTTCGATACGTAAATACATAGATCGAGTTAATCACGTCCAATTGCGAAGCATGAATATTTACATTTTTGTATCTTCTTTTTATAATATTTGACATATTTCAAACAAAATAATACAAAAATAAACATCTTTACTCGACACTTTATATATATATATATATAAATTGATGTCCTTGTTGTTTCGATCCCGCGTCGATATTTCATTGACTAGAATTTTTCATCCGATGTAAAAGGAGGTGTTAAACGAATCAGTGCAATTCTTAAAAACGTCTATGTCCCATTGAAATTTTGATTAAATCTTATTAACTACTATTTTTTATCTCGACGAATAAATGAACGATAGATTGTTCAATAAAGGGACATCTTTTAATTGCTTTTATTATCTTAATTTTCATGCTTCGTAAAATTATTAAAAAAAAATTTATCTTATAAGCTTGCCCATTAGCTCAGATGGTAGAGCACATTGTGCTCATTTATTTATTTTATTTAACTAACTCGATAAATGTATTTTTATGTTGTGTATTTTTTTTTTTTATAAAAATTGTAAATAACAAAATAATCGGTTATGAAATACTGTATGCTCGCAATTTTATTTGTCCGAATAGGTTGCAATTAAAAATAGCGTAAAAATATGACAGTTAGTGAATCAATTTTTGTTGAATTTTTTTGTGATCGTCTACAAGATATTAGTTTAGCTAATACACTCGAGCGTTTATTAGTCAACTTATTATCATCTGGTTTTGTTAATTTATTCTGTTGTTTAATTTTATTTGATTTATGTTACTGTATAAATGCAGGGTATTCGTAAAGTCACTTTAACAAACTGGAATGATAGTAATTTATTGTTGCCAGGTGTTTCGGAGTGAACTAATACTCTTTAACAATCCTGTCACAATAGATTCGTATCTTGAAATGAAAGAACAAAATCAACAAAATATTCTATTTTCATTAATATTATAGATTAATATTTTTTCTAAATATATATA